TTTAGTCGGAATGCGTAGGAATGTTGTCCCTAGCCTCTGTTTCTCTCGAAGTGGGAGACAGGGGAGGGATCACATGAGGATTATCTGTTGTGATCCCTCCCTCTGGGGCATCTGGTATTGGCCACTGTCAGCTGACAGGACACTGGGCTAGATGGACCTTTGGTCTGACCCAGTATGGCCGTTCTTATGTTCATTAAATATACACCACTAGAATAGTCACCAATGGGCAATGAATTCAGTCATGGCCAGCCAAGGATAGAAACTCAAGATGGTTTTATATTTAAAACACAGGCCCAGGAGTTAGGAAATCTGCATTCTGTTCGTGGCTCTACCAAAGTTCCTGTGTGATCTCTGATCAAAACCCTTCACTTCTCTATACACCTGTTTTCCTCATCCAGGAAATAAGTATAATAAAACTCCCCATTGTGAGGGTATCTCATTAATTATATTTTGTAAACGAACAGCATAGTTAATCTGCTGGGAACCAAGAAAAGTGCATTCAATTCCCAGCTAAGCCACTGACTTATTTGCTGTTCTTGAGCAAGTCACTTAACCCTTACTCTCTGTGTCCAAGTCTCCCTGTCTGTCAAACATATTACAGTGACTGAACTGGTTACCTAGGATACATCTACACAGCAACGTTATTTCAGAATAATTGATAAGCCTTTATTTCAAAATAATGTCGAGCTGGAGGACTTCTTACTCTGACTCATGGTAACTCATTTCACAAGGAGTAAGGAAAGTCAAAGGAAAAGTATTCTTCCTTCGACTTCCTGCTGTGTAGACAGCGTCAAAAGCCAAGTTAAGCTATTTTGACTTAAGCTATGCAATTGACATAGCTCAAGTTGCATAGCTTAATTCAATTTTAGTCCTGTAGTGTAGACATACACTGAGGGTATGTCTACACTACCCCGCTAGTTCGAACTAGCGGGATAATGTAGGAATACCGCACTTGCAAATGAAGCCCGGGATTTGAATTTCCCGGGCTTAATTTGCATAGGTTTCCTAATCTGAACTAGCTGTACTCCTCATTCCACGAGGAGTATAGCTAGTTCAGATTAGAAGCCTAATCCGAACTAGCTACTCCGTGCCGCGTGTAGCCACGCGGCACGGGGTTCGAACTAGCTGGGATTGCCGCGTGGCACGGGGTTCGGATTAGCCGGGATTTAAAAATGACGGCGCCTGGTTTATGCAAATGAAGCCCGGGAAATTCAAATCCCGGGCTTCATTTGCAAGTGCGGTATGCCTACATTACCCCGCTAGTTCGAACTAGCGGGGTAGTGTAGACATACCCCTTGGGCTCGTCTACATTGGCCCCTTTTCCGGAAGGGGCATGGTAATTCTTGAGATCGTCATAGGGAAATCCTACTTCAAAGTAGGAATAAGAGATCCTCCGGAAAATGGCTTTTTTCCGGAGGATCTGGCCAGTGTAGACGCTCTTTTCCGGCTTTTCTAAAAGCCGGAAAAAAGCGGCGGACATTTTTATTTAAATGCCGCGGGGGATATTTAAATCCCCCGCGGATTTCCCTATGACGATCTCAAAAATTACCATGCCCCTTCCGGAAAAGGGGCCAATGTAGACGTAGCCCTAGAGATTAAACCCCCAAGCCATTCTCCTTTCTCTCATTCTTAGGGTGTCTGCACTACAAACTTTTCCTCATGCAAGTGACTTTGGCATATAGCTGCCACAGTATATCACTTGTCTCCTTGCATCAGCATTTTGAGTACTCACTAAGAATGTTTGTTTTAGATGCACTGTGATTATTCCATTCTTTCTGATCATGCCATTCCTTTCCCCCCTAAAGCAAAAAGCTGAGCCCTTGTGCAGCCTCTCAGGAGAGATTCAAATGCCACCCAGCTGATCAGCAAAGTGCTCACACCTAGGTTTTTTGTGTCTACTGGTGGTGCACATTCATACACACATTTGTGCACATAAACACATTTATTCTGCACATGGATGGGAAAAATCTGTGCATGGATGGGAAATATTAGAGGGAACATTGATGGATAGGTATCCCCTTGTGCCACCATCCTGCACACTGTGTTTTGAGACGTTTGGGCTAGGGATGTAAAATAACATTTAAAAAATTACCCAGTTAAACATTATGTTTAGCCACATACCTGGATCGAGTGGGCGGAGGGCTGCTCCAGCCTGGCTGGGCTACAGCCCCAAACCCCAGGCAACTGAAGGACCTGTGAGACCTGCCACATCCTGGCCTTGGGGACATGGTGGGGAGAGTTAGCTGAGGTTAGGGAGGCTTAGTCCACTATTAGGCATAGCCCTCTACTACACTCTGCCCATGGTCAATCATTGTGGTGCCAGAAAATTCAGCATCCACACCCACAATTCAAGTTCTGCTGTTGACATGGCAGAGTTCAGAGAGCATGCAGAACCTAACCCAGATGCTTTCTTCTGATTGCACATCAATGCTTGCAGGCCTCTCCATTTCTGGGCCCTCTTTTGTGCTAGACACATGGGAACAACCTTCTTATCTTCCCTGCAATCCAATGAGACATATGTAGAGCAAGGAACTTTCTTCACTACCTGCCTCCTCCTACTCAGTAGTTGCCCAGGCTCCAGGCATGGGTTCTATCCCAGAACACAGTTTCCTCTTGGCCAATCTTGGAAAATCATGCAGCTATCTTCCCTTGTCTTATGAGTATACTCCCAGAACACTAAGGCTCCTTGCAATTTGCTAAGAGGGGTTGGATCCTAGAGGGTGGGTTTCTGTAGCCTAGCGGTGAGGACATATGGTCCCCCCACAAAAATGTTCCCATTTCACTTCCATGAACTGTTGTAAATACAGAGTTGTTCCCAGCTATAGGAGTGTGGCACTGTCTACACTACCTTTGCGTATTGCAGTTAAAACAAGATTTTCCTGGGCAACATAGCTCAGATCCACAAAGGTATTTAGATTCCCAACTTTCCATTAATTTCCCATAAGTCCAGTCAGGGGCAGTGCAATCTAGACAAAACATCCAGTATCTGTCTATGCCACTAGAGGAAAACTCCACAAGTATCGGGGAGAACAGTCTTTAGTGCTGCTTGTACAGTTTTGTGGCTAGCTACAGAACTGTGCCAATTGTACAGTCAATTGTGGAGTATCTCACTTTTTGTTAAACATGAATCTGGAAACATTCCCAGATCATACATCTGCCCCTCCAAAGCGAGATCTCAGAGGATGAGTCTGAATGGGGCACTAATGAGTAAATACATTCCCAGTGACTGCTTTGGGAAGAGAATTCATAATCATTATCTTTCTTTTCCCCTAGCTCTGAGTGGTCCCTGCTGCCACTTTCCTCCCCCAAAATCAGGCTAGTGGATAGAAAACAGGCAAATACAAAACCAAACACCTGTGTGCCAGATGTGCAATTATAAAAGAACATGTGCCCCACCAAGCCATTCATAGAGTATACTGGAGTCTATTTAAGTATTTTTCTTTAGAACTGCTCAGAGAAAATATCCATTGCACATTTAAGAATCATCATTCTTCTTCCTATGTTTTTCTTTATTCTCTGCCCACATGGTGAGGGCAGGAGAGAGCTGGGGAGGGAAGATAGAAGTGTGAGAGTTGACCTACATTCTACTACAATAGTCGTGCTACTTGCTTACTTACAGCTCCAGACCTTCAGCTCAAATACTGAACACCTGAGCTGTACTCTCTGGAATGTTAGGTAAACGGGGTTACCTAGGCAACTAGTAGTATTCATGGTTAGGATTTAGAGTTCAACCCAATTCTAATGAAAATTATTCCCGTGCATTAGAATAATAGTCTGGGTAATGGAACAGTGAGAGGTTTTGGTATAGAACTTAGCCTTTATAGACAACCTCTCATTAAAACAATTTTGCACTTCACTGATTGCTATTTGAAAGAGCTTATCCAAGTGTTAGGCCTCTTTACAGACCATTGAGAGAGAGGGAGAATTGCTGTGCTGGGACGAGCGGATAGTATAGAAAAAAAACCCAGAACGGAATGAAGAAAAAGAAGTACTTTCTTCATTTCAAAATACCATCACACCATTTCAGCTAGTGGGTATGTTACATTCTCTATGTTTGCGGCTGAAGGAGTAAAGTGCAAGACCTCAGTACACAGCTAATAAAGCTAATGTAGGCTACGTCTACACTACAGAGTTTTTGCGCAAAAACCCGCGGCGCGTCCACACCTCAAGCGCATTTTTGCGCAAGTAAATTTACAGTAAATCAAAAGAACAAAGGGGTTTTTGTGGTATAGATATTCCTCTTTCTATGAGGAACAACTCCTTTTTGCGCAAGAGCTCTGTAGGGGTGGTAGCATTGTCCAGAGGTTAGACATTGGCGAAAGACTCAGAGTCAGGTGACCAGGTTCTGTTCCCAGCTCTGTAACTGCCTGTGATTGATATTACCCCCTTCCTCAGTTTCTCTTTCTGTGAGATAATAATAGTATTTACTTTCCATTGTGAAGCACGTGGAGATCTATGAACAGGATATGCTAATACCTATTTGTGTGCCGATTGAACCATAGCAGCACTTTGATTGGATGCAGAGAGAGTGTACGGCTCTCACAGTCAATGTTGTGTGCAGCAATCAGCATGTACCTCACTTCACATGCACTTGTTTTACATGCATGTCACTTTAGTAATATTGGTAGGAAAAAAAGCTACGCAGATGGAAACCAGTGGAATCTGGCAACCCTACATGTAGGCAACGGTAAACAAAATATCTCACAGACCATACACAGAACCTCAGAGGGCTGCGGGTGGCCCACCACTGTGGGACATATTTAGTAGACTGGGGTATCTTTTGATATACTGACACAGGGGTGGCCTGTGGCTATAGATGGACTCGGTTGCCACCTAGGGCGCCGCCGCCCGGGGCGCCCGCCAATGGTGTCAGTCCATTGACAGCCCTGCAGGCGGGGGGGCTGATCACGCATTCCCGCTTGGAGCGCCAGCTGCAGCAGCCGGCCTTGGGCCACTCCTGTACTGACTTCTGACTAACCCCCATTCTTGTTTCTTTACAGCATGCTTTATTTTTGGACTTCTAGCTTTCCTTGCTTTACCACTGTCCATGGCTTTTACAGGTAAGAGGTCTATCAAAAAAGTTTAAAGATAGGTGCTTGTAGGTACTATATAGTCATGTAGCAATGCCACTTGGTAAAAGATTAGTTTGAATCTGATTTATGACTCAAGTGTACCTGACATTGGTGGTGTCACCACGTATGGCTGGCCACTTCATATGCTGAATATTTGTCACTATGTCTGTTTATCCACATCATAAAACCACCACAGAGCTTGGCAATCCCTTGAGCTAGCGTGGGATGTGCAGGTCATTATCAAAGCAGATTGGTGGAGTTATGTGGGAAAAGCATGCTGAGTAGAACAGTCAGGTGCCAAATAATAAACACCATCCCTTCCATTATTATTTTTCACCCCTTAAGTTTCTGGGATGATATTTAGGCTTCAGATTCATGACCACAGCAACAATTTGTATGGGGAACCAGGAATTCCAGCCTTCTAATCTCATTTCTGACAATGACTCCTTCTATAGTTTTGACCATACTGTCAAACCTCTCCTCTTAAATTTCTCCGTCTATGAAATGTGTCTCTTTTAATTTTCTTATCTACCTCACAGCAATGTCAGGAAACTGAATTAGTGGTGAAATACTGCTCGCCTTACCCATTTACAATCCTGTTGACTCCAATTTCATCCAGAACTTGCCTCCTGAATAAATGGTATTGTGCAAGTCATTGAATTACTTGTGAACAAAACAGAATGAACTGTACAGTACATGTCCAGTATATGAGTTCACCTCCAAATAGCCAGAAAAGTGAACTGCTTTTTCTGAGCCACTGCACACTATTCAGGCTGCAGTTGAAAAAGTATTAATTTCAAACACAATTCAAATGCCTCTAGGCATAAATAAGGCTGGATATAGCTGGACTTGGGTATTAATACAAACAAAACAAACAAAAAGTCAAATGTTGCTCTTTCATATGATCCCTTAGTTGCACTACAGGAACAATTTCAATTAAAGGACTTCTATGAAAACCAAGAAGTAGGAGTACTCCAATACCATATTTCATACTCCTGCTTCTTGGTCTATTTTCAGCAAAGTGATTTCTGGTTGCCTGTCTATCCCCAGGATTACAGAGTTCAATGACGAGCTGTTCTGGTGTATTTTTTCCTGGATGTTCAATATGGATTTAGTCTACCACAAATAGGGGCAGAACCTGTGAACAGGAAACCAAATCCGAAAGACCCTCACCTCTCTCCCTTCGGTGTCCCACCAGTCTGTTTTCTTAGCAGTCAGTAGGGAAGAAGGGAAGGGAACAGTGTGTCATAACAAGAGACAACCTTATTCTGGAGATGCCGTTCAAGACTCCATAGTAAAACTGAGTTGAGTTTTCATTTAAAGTAGGGACTCAGGTAGGAAGAATGGCCTAGTCTATAGCACACAAGAGTGAGCTGTAAGAAATATGGATCCAGTTCCTGGTTTTACCATAGACATCCTCTGTGACCATGAAGAATTTTCTTAGTCTATGGGTCAGTTCCCCATCTGTAGAATGGGAGTAGTGCTTCTCTACTTCACAGGAGTGTCACAAGAATAAAATCCTGTAGTGATTGAGATGTATTTAGATACTACAGGAGTGAGGGTCATGTAGCCAGAGCAATGGCTATGTTATGCATGAACAATACATCATTTCCTTCCCAAATTACAAAATTCACTGTACTGAATGTGAATATGGAAATGAACAATTAACGCACCTAAATTCAACCTTTTAGTGAGTGTGTCTTCAAAAGCAAGTTTGATTTAACTTGCATACTAAAAGGCATTAATGGTAGCAGTACAGCTATTGTGTAGCATAGGTACAGGGGAGGGTTTGCATTGTTTGGGTGCCTCAGTTGTGCACTTCTGAATCTTAAGATGTCCAGATTTCTTCAAGTTCATCATAACTCTGAGTTTCCTGGGTTCATACTGATTATTTTGGGGGTAATGACCATATCACTGTAATGTTGTTTTATCTTTAAGCTTTTGATATGTGCTCTTCAGGCTTAACTATCCTGTAATGCCAGTATTGGTCTATGAGTTTATTTAGGCCATGTCTTTACTTATGCACTGGAGATCAATCTTCTGGTGTTCCATTTATCAGGTCTAGCTAAGACCTGGTAAATAGAACATTGAGAGTACTTCCGGCCAGTGGCAGTACTCCTCACAAACGTAAGAAGCAAGGGAAGCCAATGGGAGCACTTGCTCCTATTGACCTTCCACCATGAAGACCGCACCCAGCTTGGCTTAATGTATATTGACTCCAGATGGCCTTCTGAGTCTAGTGCAGACCTGGCCTTAGACTTGATTGCTGCTTCATTGACCAGAGGGTTCCAGCACTGCAGCTCTGGCATAGAGCCTTGGCACCACAGTAGCTAAAAGAATCAAATAGAGGCAAAGGTATGGCTATGGCAATCTGGATCTTCTTTTTGTTACGAAGATAGTACCATTAAGCATTATTGCCATGAACTCTGGATATGTCTACACTGGAGAGATGATTTTCAGCTTGGGTTGTCTAGCTCAGGCTAGCTCTGCTAGTATGTTAAAAATAGAAGTGTAGCTGTGGCAGTGAGAGGGGCTAAGCCTTCCCTTCTCCCCCTGAGTATGCGCACAGAGTCTCAGATGGGATTGTACTTAGACAACTGGCCCATCCCTCTGCTAACACCACCCAGGCTATACTTGTAGTGTACCCAAACTGGAAATTACACTGCCAGCTCCAGCATAGACATAACCTATAATTATAAGCCAGATTCAGCTAAGCGTCTATGCTGCTCCTGGCCTTAGCTCAATGCTCATTGGATACCAGCACAGCCCAAAATTGCTACTGTTGAGCTAAAGAGCTACTGCAGAGACTATGTCTGTGTCTAGACTGACAAGTTTTTCCGCAAAAGCAACTGCTTTTGTGGAAAAACTTGCCAGCTGTCTACACTGGCTGCTTGAATTTCCGCAAGAGCACTGACGATCTCATGTAAGAAATCAGTGCTTCTTGCGGAAATACTATGCTGCTCCCATTTGGGCAAAAGGGCCAGTGTAAACAGCTCAGATTTGTTTTAAGCAAAAAAGCTCCGATTGCGAAAATGGCGATCGGGGCTTTTTTGCGCAAAAGCGTGTCTAGATTGGCACGGACGCTTTTCTGCAAAAAGTGCTTTTGCGGAAAAGCGTCCGTGCCAATCTAGGTGCTCTTTTCCGCAAATGCTTTTAACGGAAAACTTTTCCATTAAAAGCATTTCTGGAAAATCATGCCAGTCTAGACATAGCCTATGTGTCCCAGACAGCCAGGAGATGCATTGATCCAGCACATCTTGAAAACTTCTCCTGACTGAGCTCTTACATAAACCTGGGCTGGCTATAACTTAAAACTGTTTGCCTATCTCACGGGTGAGTACTGGTAGGGTGAATGAGGCTTCAGGGATGCAGGCTAATGCAGAGAAATGATGTTTACACTTGGCACCATTTACACATTGGCAGCCGGCCTTCAAAAATGGAGTAGAGGCTAGAATCTGACCTTTTGCTTTTTAATATCCCCTCCCAGTAATAGATTTTAATATATGAAACTTTGAGATGAAAATGTGGCATTTATTCTATGGCATTAGTCTAGAGTTGTCAGTAACTTCCCACATCTGATGCTGAGTTCTTGCCAAAATTAGGAGAGACTGTCAGCGTAATACTGTGTTGTCACAGGATAATGGTTTCTGACAGCTCCGTATCTGCAAAGGCATTTTGAGGAAAATGAAATTTCACAGGAGACACGCAGACATTTATTATCCAAGCAACGGGCTCAGATTCTCTTAACATTCTGTTACAATGATCTCTCACAATGACTTGATTTCTGTTGATCTAGTTATTCATGTGTAGGGCCCTACCAAATTCATGGCCATGGAAAACACATCCAAGACCTTAAAATCTGGTCTCCCCTGTGAAATCAGGTTATTGTCTGGGGCGGGGAGTGGGACTGAGCCAGCCACAGAGTGGTGGCTGCTGGCCAGGCACTCAGCCCAGAAGGCAGCACTATTGTCAGCAGCAGTGAGAGGGTAAGGGTGGAATGGTATGGTATTGTCACCCTTTCTTCTGTGCTGCTGCTAGTGGGAGCACTGCCCTCAGAGCTGGCAGAGGCTGCAGCTCTCCAGCCACCCAGTTTTAAAGGCAGCACTGTTGCCAGCAGCAGCACAGAAGGGTGGCAGGATGTAATATTGCCACTCTTACTTCTCCACTATTGCTGGCAGAGGCACTGCCTTCAAAGCTGAGTTCCTAGCCAGCAGCTGCCACTCTCCAGCTGTCATGCTCTGAAGGCAGTGTAGAAGTAAGGGTGGCAATGTGCACAGCCCCCTACAATACCCTGTGACTCCCTGCCTGACTATTGTTTGGGTCAGGACCTCCATAATTATAACACAGTGACATTTAGTATTTCAATATCTCAAACCATAACATTCAAGATTTTTTAAATGCTCTGATTGTGAAATTACTGATATAGACTATGAATTTGGTAGGACCTTACTGATGAGCATCCAGTCATTTTGGCCCTGGTCAAAGAGATAATTGCTAGCTGTTTTTTTAATGTTTACAAATCTGTAACTATGCAGAGTAATATTCATGGGAAAACCACCCATATTTCCTAACAACAGAAATTTGAGATCATGTCAACCACTTGGGGTATGTCTACACTACCCTCCTAGTTCGAACTAGGAGGGTAATGTATGCATACATTACCCTCCTAGTTCGAACTAGGAGGGTAATGTATGCATACATTACCCTCCTAGTTCGAACTAGGAGGGTAATGTATGCATACCGCACTTGCTAATGAAGCCCGGGATTTGAATTTCCCGGGCTTCATTAGCATAAGCGGGGAGCCGCCATTTTTAAATCCCCGCTGCTTCGAACCCCATGTAGCGCGGCTACACGGGGTTCGAAGCAGCGGGGATTTAAAAATGGCGGCTCCCCGCTTATGCTAATGAAGCCCGGGAAATTCAAATCCCGGGCTTCATTAGCAAGTGCGGTATGCATACATTACCCTCCTAGTTCGAACTAGGAGGGTAGTGTAGACATACCCTTGGTTATTTATCTACTTTAAAATTTTAACAAGTAGGAATGAATTGTTGTCATTAAAAATTCCAAAAATCAAAGCTCGAGATGAAATGAACCTTTAGCTCAGAGTTCATCTCCCTGAGCATGCAGGATTGTTCCTGACAGCACATTTCCTGTGCTTTGTCTAGACTGTAGTAGAGCCAGGAAGCCATAGGATTGCTCCCAAACTCTGAGGCTCTTGGTTCACAGGTTGCTGAGAAGCTAGACAGATGAGCTTTCAGGAATGAGTTTGTTTGTGACCAGCTCTATATTTTAATAATGCACTTCACAAAAAATGAACAGAGCCATAAAAACATGCACCTGGCCCAAATGAGAAACCCCATAATCTTGATATTGTGACCTTTATTCTATTTCTTCCTTTCCCTGCCTTTTTAATTGTTCATTATCCTCATTTGTGGTGTGTCTGATGCAATGCCCATTTAATTCAGTCCCACTGCCCTTAATGTTCATTGGATCAGCAGCTTATGTATGAGCACTACACTGCATTTATTTCATCTTTACTTTTTCCATAAAGCATATACCGTCATTTTGGCCACTTGAGATAATAAACAATGTTATATTTTTGGTATTCAGGAATGAAGTTTTTGGAAGACTGCCCACTTCAACCACTAATTCCCTTATATCTGTTGGTGGGTGGTGTTGTCGGCAGTTTAAAGGTACTGTGCATTGTATATGAAAAATGTTTTATGTGCCAAGATTTTGACATTATAAAGAACTAGAAGATTTACCCGGCATTACTTGGGTCCTTCAGGGCAGGGGGGCTGGAGTGTGTGTGCAGGAGTCAGGGCAGGAGCTTGGGGATGTGGGGGGCTCAGGATAGGGATCTGGGGGTGTGGGGTGTGCAGGAGTCAGGGTTGGGGGGTGAGGAGGGGCTCAGGGCACAGGGCCACACAGCCTGGCTACTGGGT